ATAGCAAGACCCTTTCTAAAGCCCTACTACATAGCAAGACCCTTTCTTAAAAAACAAACAGTATAGTCATACATATAAAATAAAAACAAACACAGCATTTTGATCCTGGGTGGTCCCAGAAAGAAACATTGTTTAATGAAAGTTTAGGTTTGGGTTGCTAGCAGGTATCAAATCCCGATACATGTTGCAACATTTTGCACCACTAGGGGATGCCAGCAGGCCTTGTCTGTGGTTTAGGTTGACAATTCTAGGCGGCTGCCTGGAAAGATCGAGAAGATTCTAGGGTCAGTGACGTTTGAAGAACGAGAGCTGAAGATTTCCCCAAATGGTCACTAGAGGGCAGCGTCTGACAGGAGATTGAGTGTCGGTGGGAAGGCCGGATGACACTGGCTCAGGGCAGGCGTCACTAACACAGGGCAGGCAGGCCATGTTATTATTTAGGTCCAGCCTGCCAAGAATGAAGGATGAATCTGGCCAGAATTCTGACGAGGAGCAACTGTCTTTCACAGTTGTAGCTTGATTACTTTGGATTGTTTCTTTGAATTCATCTTCACAGGATTAATAAATATTTTGTCTCACTCCTATCTTAAATGATTATTTCTGCCAGAATTATCACTCATTCACCGTGTAGACCAAGGTAGCTTGGGATACATGGTCTTAATTGCTTCAGCCTCTTGGGAGCTGGGTTTATAGGAATGCACCACTACACCTGCCTGGCTTCTGGGTTTTGCCTCGATCCAGAATAACACAACAGCAAATACTCAAAACCTGTTGCTTGGTTATTTTACCCCACTTCTTTATGCTAGTGGTAGACTTTGTCTATATTATCTCTTGTTGGAAGTCATGCTAGGTGATGTCACTTTGGGGGAGTTGGTTTTTTTTATTTATTATTTAATTTATTTTTCGAGACAGGGTTTCTTTGTATAACCTTTGCTATCCTGGAACTCACTCTATAGACTTCGCCTCTTCCTCACCCTCTCCCCAGCCCTCCAGCGCCAGGATCAAAGATGTGCCCCACTGCCCTGTTTACTTTTGCAGTTTTTACATCACAGAGATTAGCAAATTTGCGGCCAGAGAGATGGCTCAGTCAGGAAAAATGCTTTCTGTACAAGCAGGAGGCTCTGATTTCAAGTCCCCGGCACCCTATGCTGTGAAAAACGTCGTGTTGGCAGCTGTCATCCCCTCACTAGGGAGGCAGAGGTGTGATGATGAGGGTGGGGGCGGGGCTTCCAGGCTAGCCAGGCTGGCTGGGTTAGCCAGTTCCTGTGTACTTGGGGTGCAGGCTGAGTAAGAAAGGAAAGGCTGCCAGGAGCACTCCCCACTTTCTGCTTGAGGGTGCAGTGTGACCAATCACATGCCTTTTCAGCCAAAGGGTGAGCCAATAGGAATAGTTCCTTAAGTGTTTTTTTTTTTCCCCTATTCTTCTGAGATATTTTGTTTCAGTACTGAGAAAAGTAATGACTACATTTAATACTTTGTGACATGTAATGTATTCACTTAAGGCTTGAATAAGAACGGCCCCATCGGCTCACACATTTGGATGCTTGGCTCCCAGTTGGTGAGCAGTTGGGAAGAATTAGGGGGTGTGGCCTTGTTGGAGGAGGCGTGTCCCTAGGGTGGCTTTTAAGGTTTTGAAAGTCCTGCTGGGCAGTGGTGGCGCACTTGGCCACTCTGGTCTACAGAGTGTGTTCCAGGACAGCTAGGGCTACACAGAGAAACCGTGTCAAAAAAACAACAAACAAACAAACAAACAAAAAAACAAAAAAAAGGTTTTGAAAGTCCTTGCCAGGCCCTGTCTGTCTGTCTCCCCTTCTCCCTCTCTCTCCTGCCTGTAGAACGTGATTTAAAGCGCTCAGCTACTTTTCTAGCACCACGCATGTCTGCCTGCGGCATGCTTCCTCTTAGAATGGTAATGACTAACCCTCTGAAACTGAAAGCAAGCACCCAGTAAGTGCTTTCTTTTCTTTATAAGAGAGAAGGAGGCAGAGGGAGGGAGAGATTGAGAGAGACTTAGATTGTACAGGAATCAAAGTCTGTGCTCAGTTGGAGAGGCTGGTGGGTGCAGAGGCAGAGGCAGCATGAGCAGACACCAGAACACTGTGATTGGCAGTGAGTGGAAGGAAAAGCCCCGAACACTGTGAGAGAGACAGCTCTGTTTCCTGTTTTGTTTTTTTAATCTCTTTTGATACTAATTAGATTCCCTAAAATGGTTATGTTATTAAATTACCTCGTGCAAGGCCATTTCCTGTCTCCTTCGGTACTTGGACTGCTATGTTTGCTTAAATGGGAATTAGGGAAACAGTTTATTGCTGGGAAACTTGGGATGATGAGAAGGCTAAGTGGGTAAAGGCACAGGTCACCCAGCTTGATCACGTGAGTTCAAGCTCTGGGACTCACATTCTGGGTAAGAACCCACCCTACAATTTGTTATCTGGCCTTACACCTGTGTGCCAAATTCCTAAGAGATGTAACAAAGTTTAAATACCGATCAAAACATCTTTATTTAATTAATTAATTAATTAATTTATTTATTTTTGGTTTTTCGAGACAGGGTTTCTCTGTGTAGCCCTGGCTGTCCTGGAACTCACTCTGTAGACCAGGCTGGCCTCGAACTCAGAAATCCGCCTGCCTCTGCCTCCCAGGTGCTGGGATTAAAGGTGTGCGCCACCACCGTCCGGCAAAACATCTTTAGAGATGTATGTGTATGTCAGTTGTACAAAATAAAACAACTGTTGAAGTTAACTTGATGTTCTAGTACTTTAAATAATGAATATAACTTTTCACATTAACCACTTTAGTGACACTTCAGTGGCAGTGAATACATCCCTATGTTTGTGTGACCATTCCTACCATCTGTCCGCAGAACTTCTTTCTTTTTTTTTTAAAATTATCCAAAAATTTACATATTTGGTAATGATCAGTAACAAGATGCCCATACAATCAGAAGTGTAAACCAATACCCAACCTAAATATACCAACTGCCTTTGACTGCTACAGACGTGTGAACATCTGCCTCCATCGCTCCTACGGCTCTCACCCAGAACTTCTTTGTGTGTGTGTGTGTGGGGGGGGGAAATTAGCAGGGGAGTGCCCTGGGCCTGCCCAGCAATGACTCGTGGATGGGCGGGGCTGGGCGGGGCGGCGGCGGAGTCCCGGAGGCTTTCTATGCTTTCTTTGCCAGCAGGGGGTCCCACATACACCAGAAGGTCTAAGGTTCCAGAGGCTGGAAGCTCTGGCAGCGGCAGGCCCCAGAAGACACGTGGAGTCCATGGGTTTAGAAGTTTATCGTTCATGGCTTGGTAGTTGAGTCAGGATGTGCGCCGCCCCGCCCCCCCCCACCCCCCCGCCTTCCCGCCGGCCGGGCGGGCGGCGCCCGCCCCGGCCACCACGCCCCCCGCCGCCCCCCCCCCCCCCCCCCCCCCCCCCCCCGTAAAAGCCAGGAGGAACTGGCTTAAATAGGGAGGGGGGAAAGGGGCTGGGAAAAGGAATAATTAGCTACCCCCCTTAGGTAACTCATGAATATGGAAATCTCTGTTAGTCACACCCTCTACCTGGATGCTGACGCAAACCCTCTCTGGAAGGAGCTACTTTGAGCCAAACGTGTCTGCAAGACGCAGGTTAATGGAGGTGTAGGTTGCATGTGGGAAGAGTCTGGAATCCGGGAGCGTGGGGAGATATATGCGGTCCCTCACCAGGCAATAGTCCACCTGTTGGGTCTCCGGCTATCTCAAACCCAGTGAGTGCTCTACTGGGGAGACCAAATCATCCCTTTGAGGCCCCACACTTCTTCACCTTGTAAAACCGCATCTCTGTAACCACTAAACAGAAACTTCTCAGTTCTCCCTCCCGCCAGCACCTGACAGCATCAGGTAGTCCTTTTGTGCGAGCCGCCCAAGTTGCTGGTGTGTGCCGCGGCACCCGCCCACTCCCTTTATGGTTAGGACTGAGTCATAACAACCTTAAGGCCCCACATGCTTCTTCTAACTTTAGTGTTTGCCTTCTTGTCTCTGTGCATCATGTGGGTGCAGTGCCTGTGGAGAAAAAAAAGCTTGAAATCCTAGTAAGA